TTCGTCCCACCTAAACCACTCGCGAGCTAAGTCAGCGTGTCATGCTTGCAATGTGGACTAAAATAAGAACGTTTCGTGAGTTTTTTGTGAGAAAGGGCCAAAAGGTCATATATTAAGTAGGCCAAACCATTACAAAAGCACCTGTGTAGAACTTAAAACAATACATCCAAATCTGTGGGGGTGTCGAAGTTTTGTTCCTCCTGCATCCATCGAGGGCCCATTGTGAGGAAAACTCGTTGTCGTCTCTCCAGGCCTCTGTCTTAACATAGCAAACTTGTTTGAACCCGAGAGCTTGTAGAAGTAGTGACTAGGAAGTCACTGATAACAGGTCCTATTTGCCACCCGTGGGCAGCAAGTAGTCGACGCAATGCCGGCGGTGGAGCCAGTTGGTCCGACATCTTTTCTCACTGCATCTTCTTTCTTCTGTAGGGATTTGCTTATGGTTTTCTTAGTGTTTTGTCCGATTTTCGGTGGTTTTGTTTCGGTTTTTTGTTTTGATTTCTTTTTCTTTGTTGTTTTTCTTTTTTCATTTTAGTTTTTTCTTCTCTTTTTTTGTGTATTATACAAAAAGTTCACCACGTATTACAAAAATGTTCATCATATATTAAGAAGATGTTAACTCTATATATAGTAAAAAGGTTCACAGTGCATTATAAAGAAAATGTTCATCCTGTATTAAAAAAAAATTCAACGTATTTAGAGGGGAGTGGTCTTTTGTAAACATAATCTGTAATCTAAAAAAACAAAGACTTTCATGTCAGCCTGTAAAACTAATTGCATAAGAATCACCGGCAATCCGTAGCATTGCTGTTAAATTAATGGTCGAAAGCAGTTACATAAAAAGTGAGCCTGAAACAGATTGGCTTCAAACACATTCCACGTGGATCGTGACCTTAAAAGCTAGGAGCAGTGAATATTTCAGAACCGCACATGAAGCAAACTTACATAACATACAAATATGTTTTCAGACACTAGGACGTATACATATAAATGCAATACATAAACACATGCATACATGTGCATGATCAAACGCTTATGTAGATAGAAAGTAAATAAACTCCAAACGACTCAGGGTAGTACGCAGCATCTCCAAACGGCCTGAAGAAGCCACCGATCGGCCGACCAAATTGAGTAGAAGCAGAACATGCATCGTCATCCGCACCGCTCGATAGATTGGCTCACTTGGCCACCTCACCGTCCTCGAAGATCTCGTCGCCGTCGCAGTCGCGGATGTCGTCGACGTGCTCCACGATGACGACGTGGACGCCGGGGTCCCTGACGGCGCAGCTGCCGGCGAGGAGCACCGAGTTGTTCACCGCCTGGTAGTTGCTGTTGGTGTAGGCGGCCACGTGCACCTCCTCGTCCTCGCCTTCCTCCTCGTCCCCCTCGCCGCCGGCCTCGACGACGACCAGGTCCTCCGCGTCCATGGCCGCGCCGTTGTTCTCCCCCGCCAGCGTGATGACGGTGGTCTTGCCGGCCTCGTCGCCGGCGCCGAGGGCGGTGGCCAGGTGGTCGTTGAGGTCGGTGATGGCGTTGCTCACCTCGGAGGCCGCGTTGGTGGTGTTGTTGGAAGCCATGGCAGCGGCGGCGGTGGTTGTTGTTGGGCTAGGTGGAGAGTAATGGGGGTGGCTGGCTAGCAATGGAGGCTGATGGATCGATGGATGGATGGGTGGGAGTAGGGTGTCCATGGCGGGGAGCATATATAGCAGAGGAGGGCAGGGGAGGAGGGAGGCGGGTAGCTTGCGTGCGTGAGGAGGGGAGGAATGGAATGACAGAGGTTGCGAGCGATTCGAGGCTTGAGGATGCGGGCAAAGGAAAAGGATCCATGGATTGTTTTCTCGGCCGAGTTCAGATCGATGGACACGCCGCCGCTCGTCAAGTGACTTCGGACCGAAGCAAAGGATTGTTCTCTCCGCTTCTTCTGCCGCCGTTTGAACTGGGCTCCAGTTGAGCCCGGCCTGCTTAATTAGTGGAGTAAGCAGTAGCCCAGCCAGCTCCGTTTGACTGGGCTTCTTGGGGGCTGTCGGGCGCCGGTCTTCTCCATTTTTTCCTTCTTTTTTCGTTTTCTTTTCTTTTGTTTTATTTATTTTTTTCTCCGCTCAATTTTTTCATTCTTTATTTTTTCTTCTACGTTTTGTTTCATTTCTTTTCGTATTCTTTTGTTTCATTTCTTTATTCTTCTCTGTTTTTTTCATATTTTTTTTCTTTTTCCTTCTACACTTTTTTTTGGATTTATTTCATTCTACTCCCTCCGTTCCTAAATATAATTCTTTTTTAGAGATTTCAATATGGGCTACATACGGATGTATATAGACATATTTTAGAGTGTAGATTCACTCATTTTGCTCCTTATGTATTCTGTATTGGAATCTCTAAAAAGACTTATATTTAAGAACAGAGGGAGTACATTCATATATACATGATCAACATTTTTTCAAGGACGCGTCTGGCTAGCGGCCGTTGGCCTGCTAGCGCTCGCGAGCGGCCAGCCGAAAAAAGTAACTTTTTATCCCCACCTGATCCCGTAAAGAGAACTTTGTTCCGACCCGTGAAGAATCAGAAAACAAAGGACGATCGGTATCACGTGATAGCGCACTAACTCCCGAAGCCTCCACGCACCCCTCGCCCACACTTCCTTCTCCACAGGGATCCTTCTTCTCAACGAAAGAAAGGGTCCCAGCCTGGATCCAAAATAACGCAATGAACGGAAGTGGTAAAGAAGAGGGAGGAGAGAGGACGCGGAGTAATTGAGCCCGAGCTCAAATGAGCTTGATATCCATGTCGTTGGAAAACGCATCTAGATCTGGGCCATTTCTTTATACAGGCTTCAGTTGACTGCTAGAAAATGCGCACGGTAGAGAAATACATAGACGGCGGTGGTGGGTGGTGGGCCAGATTTGACGGGCAGGCGGACGTCCGTTCGTCGTCGGCGAGGTGAGCCGCGGATCGGAATCGGCGCACGCGTCTGATCCATGGCCTCGAGAAGTTCGCTCGTCTTCTCCGCGGACTGCGGCGTAGAGAGAAGGACCGCCAATGGAGGCGAAGGTGACGTTCACCTCGCCGGCCCTCCCGCCCCTCTCCGCCGCCGCTCGTTCACCTTCTCCCATGGCCGCCACGGCCCTTCTCTGCCCGTCCTATCCCCTCGTCCCATGGCGGCCATGGCCCTCCTCTGCTGCCCAATCTAGCCCTCCTCCGCCGCTCTTCCCCCTCCTCCTCTTCCCTTGCTCCACCGTCCCATCCTTTCCACCTCCACTGTCGGTCCCTTCGTCCCATGCCGTTGGATCCCCTCCTCCTCTGCCACCAGATCGCCATCTCTTTAATCCGTCTCCATCTCCTCTGTTGCCAGTTCCTCTAACCATACTTCTATTTTGTATAGTTGTATTGAATATAATTCTAAAATTTACATGATTTGTGTCATGGATGATTTATGGTTAGCATATTTTCCTGAGCATACCAGATTTGACATGATGCCTTTTTTCTTGCTTATATGTCATCCATCTGTAGAACATTTGGTATTTTTAATTGCAATATAATCACTCAATTGTTGTCACATATTATACAAATTTTGTTTTCTTGCATGTTGACGAAAGTATATTATCTTCATAATCATGTGATTATGAAAAATTATTTTCGGATGAATTACTTTTGCAGTCATTAATCCAGGGATTTGCAGTCAGTAAGCAGAATCATGCTTACTGAATCTAGGCAGTTCATCCAAGAAAATGTTGCTTACCGAATTCAGGCAGTTCATATGTGAATTGGCTGCGTTTGCAGGCTGATGATAGATGCTGCTGCACCGAGGAGAACACCGTGCCCAAATTGCATCAGTGCGTTTGAGAAGGCTCTTAAGAGTTATGCTGACAACCCAGCTGAGTATGTGATCACACTAGTTCTTGGCATTACTTTTGACTTTTTGGACAAGGCGTACGACTTCTACAATTTGTAATCGTCCGTCCTGTCTGATCCGTGGATCAGGAAGTTTGCTTTCCATGTACTGGTTGAAGAACCGAATTGAATGCAGGGCCGAGTCTTCTTGCCCAAGGCGTAGGTCATTTGGAAGCTGAGCACTGCGGGATAGAGGCAAGGAGCACCGGTGGCGAGGCACCATGGAGTTTCTGATGCAACCAATTGACAGGTCTATGGATCTTTGATTTCCTGGCGATGACATTCCCATTTTAGGCCTTTGTCTTAGCTGATGCAGAGGATTGATTTTTTCCTAGTTTCAGATCTGCTCTGCTTGAGGAAGCAGGGAAGAGTTTGGTGCCGGCCCCTGTGGCTGTGAATGGCCCTGGGGTGGCGGTTTTGGAGGTCGCGCAGCATCGGACGGTGGACAGCGACAAAGCACAAATCTTCTCGGCGAAGGAGGCGGCGGCTGAGGAAGGGAGAGCTCCCCTCCGACTTCGGAGCTATCAACGAGGAAGCTGAATCCCTAAGCGTCGAGGTGTAACAAGAGGTTAGTGAAGGGCAATTTCGGAAGCATCATGAGTGAAGAAATGCTACAGTTAGAGCAAGTGCTGATTGGTCTCTGCATTCAAAAAAAGGATGCTATCCTGTGCTTGCGGGCTGATTGATCTCTGCATTCAGAAAATTCATGCTATATGTGCCTGTTTTTGCAGGCTGATTGCTCATTGTACTCAGAAAAGTCATGTTATATGTGCCTGTGTTTGCAGGCTGATTGCTCTCTGCATTTTGAAAATTTATGCTACTTGTGCCTGTGTTTGCGGGCTGATTGCTCTGTGCATTCAGAAAATTTATGCAATGTATGTCTATGCTTGCAGGCTTAGGATTGGTGCTGCCGCACGAAGCAGAACACCGTGCCCAAATCGAATCATTGCGTTCGAGAAGGCAGCCAGGTGTTGTGGAGAGAACCCAGCTGAAAACGTGACCACACCAGTTTTTGGTACTACTTTTGACTCTCTGGGCGAAGCATATGAGGTGATTTCGACGAGGGGGAACCGAGGTGAGCTGCTAGATTTTATGATCGAGGTGCTGCCATTCTGAAGTTAGATGAGGTGTCAGATATGCATTATATATGCAGTAGGTGTGCATTTGCTGTGAAAGCATTTCGTTGTGCGGAACAAACTGGAGAGAAAGTTTAGCTACCATCCCCTTTGATGTGGTGTGGCAGTGGTTTCCTGGGGTTTCCATCGCACTGGACGGAAATGTTAGCTGCCATCCACTTGTTGTGGTGCGGTGTTGATTTCCCAGGATTTTCAGTGTTAGCCATGGGCATGTATTTTGAGTAACTAATGTGTGTTTAGGCTCGCATACAGAAACCAGTGGCGGATCTAGAACTACACGATAGGAGTGCCATGCTCAATACTCACGTATTTAACACTAATAGTACACCCAAATGAGCCTAACTACTACTAGTATATAATAAGTATACTTTGCATTTTCGCAGGGGGTGCCATGGCACCCATGGAACCCCAGTTGGATCTGCCCCTGCCAGAAACATCTGTCACATAAGTAGTTGTGTTCGGACCAGCATGTGGATATGTTAAGTTTGGATGTATTATTATGTGTGAGAATGAGTATGGAACCTTAAGCTACAGGTGTTAAATGCCTGACTGCGATTTGCTTGCAGTTGATGTTCATATTTGTTATGATTCAGCTTTGGGCAGTTGTGTGTGTGCGTGTGCAGGTTCTGGTCTTTATATGAGACCAAAAAATCAGTAAAAGAGTTGGAGTTTGAAAAATTACAAACTGTCAGACATGGTTGAATGGTACTTTAGATTGTTCAAATTCGAATCTACGCAATACTCCTCACATGAGTGTACGTCGAATTAAGGACTGAGAAATTTGAAAGAATTGTTCTTATAGAACTAGCGTGCATGCCTGTGTGCACATATTTGTTAGATTGATTAAACATGGTCTGTTAAAAAAAATAGAGCTGTTTGTACTGACATCAATCAGGATCCTGCATGAGCCCTTGCCTTGTTACACACAGGAATTAGCAGAAATTGTCGCCAACAGTTGGCTTATATGTAGATTAAGGGAAACAAGTTTTAGCCTTTAGCCCGAGGATTGGTTTGGTGTCAAGAGAACACAAAATCTCTTTTGATGAAGTTAAAGTGTGAAAACTTGGCGAGTGGTGTCATACAGAAACTTCAGATATTTGTTGGACCTTGATCTGGACTACATCTGCAATTCTGCATACTACTGGGCTCCATAGTGGCGATTAAGATCGGCAAGGTACGTCGTGTCTGATCTGATTAATCCACATAGACCAGCCTGCAAGAATAGCATGAATAGAAAGACTAAGCCGGGAAAACCTACAAAAAAATTTCAAACTTCGAAATCATGCTCCATTCAAGATCTAACACCTCTCTTCACTCATTTGTAGAAGCGCTTGCCTGCTTTCTCGCCGCCACGGCCAGGTGATAATCAGCTCCGCAATCTGGGCAGGGATAAACGGCAGCTTCTCCTCGTATGCTGAGTTAGACAGTGATTAAGGCAGATGGGAAAGCGATCTGGTTCATGGGATGGATTAAATATGAGAATCAAGTTTTGGCGCAGATGGATTTACCAAGGGAAAGGGATCGTGTAGGAGAAGATTGACATTATTTTTTTATAGGGGAAAGGAGAAGATTGGTCGGTAGGCGGTAGCTCCAACGGTTAGTCCAGTTTCCTTATTGATTGATGTTGTTGGTCCAAAATCTACTAGTACTTGATGGTCCATATCGTCCAGCCATATCCG